ACAACAGCTAAAATAAGTTGTAAAGAATGGCATCGTAAGTTTATATGCAATTTCATTGACTTAATCTGATCACTGAACGCTGTAACTACCATTTGCATGTGCTACATACAATGCCAAACTTCAAGAAAGGAAAAACCATGAAATGATGTAATCTCCTGCAATTACACGCTCATACTTTACCTGCGTTCAATTAAACAAATATATGAGTGTACTCTCATTTTTTTTTTTCGAAGAAAGAGAACAAAAGTTGTAGCCTTGATGTGTTCAGTCGGAATTACGGGATAGAAGGTCTAACGGAACGTTCACTCATATTATGAATTTGCTGTTCTTGAAATTTCGTAGAAAATATGGATTTTTTTTATTCATTTACCAATATGAAAAATGGCCTTTTTCCTAAAGTCATTGTACCACTGTGGTGCTTAACAGCTGATTCATTACACTTTTGAACCGAATATTGTACAAGAAGAAGAAGAAGCAGATTATCAAATACATGCCATTCTTTCTGCGTCAAATAAAAACGTTCGACAAACGCGTTCCTTTTTATATCATCTGGATATTCAACACAATGCCTACACTCAGCTGTAATCTCCTGGATCTTTGTTGAATTAAGTAAAGTGGAAAAACCATTCAGTAGCACGAAAAATCACGTTTTACTTACCGTATGAAACATATTTCGCTTGGCATTTTCACTCTTGCTTTTGTTGAACTTTTTTTTATGCAACTTTCAATGGTTTTCATTGAAAAGTTTTTTTGTTATATTAAAAATATTTGTGATGAAATCTGCTGGAATTCATGCATCGCTTTATTGTGTCTTTCGTTTCTAGTGAATGAATCCTTTCGTTTTTGGGTTTTATATAAAAAATATAATTTGAAATTGAAAAAAAAACTCTCGACGGGATAGTTTAATGTTTCATTCAACGAAAGGGTATATGTTTTTTTTTTTAAATAAAAGAGTGAAATTGGCTTAGGTCTGCAAAAAAATTGAATGGAATGAGCCGCAAAAAAACTGAGTGCGTAAGAAGACATATCCTTGATGGATTCAGTATTTATCGATTGGATTTTGAATTCACCGAAAGGCAGGTGAAAACCTTTTCAATTCGTTTTTTTTTACTCACTGCAAGTAAAAGTGTAATGATCGATACAATATATTGGAAATGTCACTTTCGAAGGATAAGTCAAGATTTGCACATTCTTTTGTTAATTAACAAGAGACTGTTACAATTGGATTGATTTTCACGTCATGAATTAAAATAGAAGATTGGTGTAGCTCTGATAGTACCGCTGCAAATAGAGTATCGTCTATTGTTTACACAATACAAGAGATCGAAACGGTTTCGATATAAAATTGTAATTTTCAATATATTGATTGGATGAATTGCGTGCTTAAGTGGTTGCAACATTGGAGTGCTATGCTTTTCATGTGCAATAGCAGTCAATATAATTCGACGTTGTGTCTTAAGAAGAAAGCAATATATGAACCAAGTGTATTTTTCGTCATTTGTTACAATTTTATATTTATTGCGATGAATGTTTACCGAACCAATGTACAAGTAACTCATTGTTTACAATCGATATGATGGCATAAATCGTGTGTCTTAGCAGCAAAAACAGAGCATAGCATAGAAAAAAGGAGAGAAACACAACAACACCAACAATAGGCGGCTATTGTGCCAGAGAGCGGCTGAAATATATGTCTTATAAGCGTAAACGTATTGATATGTAAATCGATTGCATGCAAGTTGTTGCTTCCCAATTCGATTCTCTGAAACAGACGATTGATTGACGAATTTGTGTAAATCAATATTTGTTTTGTCGCCGTTCAAATAAATCCAATTCGAGTTAACAAGGGTATCAATATGTATAATAATGTGGCCTGTTTGGACGTGTTTTCACATTTTCATTCATTTTATCAGCCGATAAAATCGATGCTGGATTAATTGTCAATAAAAAAAAATTAAAATAAAATGTAAATAAATACGGAAAAAAAGGTTGAAAGGGTGATGAATAGGAAAGAAATGATTGTTATTTCACTGAATCGATTTCGTTCTTCGTTTTTACCGTGGGGTTTTTTCGGTGTCTAAAATTTTATTCTTTTTATAAGGAAAATCGTCGAGGAAAGTATGAAGATAGACGTTTAGCTGACGAACTATCAATATATTCTGTTAATCGAACAACATGAATGAATTACTGTGTTGATGGTGTTTATCAATGTCAAAATAAAACGAAAAGATTCGAGCGAAAAAAACAACAAGTAACAAACATAAACACGTTGACTTGCTGAAGTCAAATCGCTAAAAATTTGAAGAAGTTTGGCCACCGACAATTGGTATGATATGCACATGTGTGTAATACAAGTAGTAGTGCATAGCATTGTCATGTCGTATTGTGTGACATTTCCAACGTTCACCATTCCAGCAGGGGTCACAACTGAACGCAATTTATTTGAATAAGTTACATATACGATATGTGTGCTGTGCGGTAAACAGTTAAATGCCTATGTTTTCCTCATTCTTGTTGACTTGTTTATGCTGTTGTTGCGTGTATTTTCTTGTCGCTCAACTGCAGCCATTCGCAATGTTTCGAATTGAATTTTTCGCAAATACGAAAAAGCGAAGCAGATCAAACTCGCACACAGACTGACAGGAGCGACTGTGCTTCATGTTCGAATTGTTTTATTTATCCGACAAACATACTCAGTATGAACTCTTTCTTTCTCTCTTCGTGTCGACTCGGTGATTTGATTGAGTAACATTTCGTTGTGATTTAAATATATTGCTGTTGTTGTTGGGTTTTTTTTTCTGGTGTGTACCGTGTGGTAGCTTTCCTCGCTCGTCCGTTGGCTTTCTCGAATGCGCGTCGACTGATGAATATTTAAATGCACGTTTAACAAAAGAGTCAAAGATTAAACACTTCAACCAAGTCTACATACATATAGCATGAATCAAATTGAAAGTGCGACAGCGCACTGATTTTTATGCTGATTTCCATGGTTCTGCTTTTGAAATTCATTTATAATTTTACATCTGATTATTTGATTTTTTTAAGGCGAACAGAAGTAACACATGGGCATCTGAATCAATCACAATCGGATGAAGTGAAACAACAACTAAAATCGGTAAAATTGACCAGCATTTTTTGACAATTGTTGGACGAGTGAAAGACAAACATAGCTAGACAATAATTATATGCAGATAATATACTGTCAATCGCATCACCGTTGTTCATGTCGATTGACGTTCGGAGTTTTTTTTCTCGTTGGCAAATGATCCATACGACGGTATTTCATTCAAAAGAGATCGAATTTGATTATATTGGTAAAATGTAACTTCCGCAATTAGTATTCAATAGTGTCAAAGAAATGGAAAATTGATTTAAATTTTGGACGGAAAAAATAGAGAATCAGAAATTTTCCATCTTCTGGCGGGTTGATAACCTCTTGATCTACATAAAATCGTTTTAGCCATTTTATATTCAAACATTTCCATAACCATTTAATGATATGGTTGGCAGCAACCATCAATCATTTTGATCATTATCCTTTTTCAGTATCGTTTAGTTTGATTGTTGTAAAAGAAAACGGAAGGGAAAGGAAAAGAAAGTTTCGATTGACAACATCCTGAATCTGAGAGAAAAAAATAGGTCATACCATTTCCTGGCTTAAAAAAAAATTTAATTTGCATCAATAGAGCAACGAGATAAAATTCAATTTTGATTGTGTATTGTTTATGTGGTGCAAATGGATTGCATTCAATAGTATGACAACAATGGTTTAGTACGACACAAAAAGTAAGAAAGAATAAATAGATATGAAATTGCCAACTTGATAGAAGAGTTGCGTCGCATTGACTCACATCCAAATATGGCATATTCCTATTAAATACAACATATTTTGTGAATTGTGAATGAGTCGGTACTGAAAGTAATCGGTGCTGAAGTGTGAATGAATTCACAATTTACATTCAATATTCATTGAATATATCCGCGCTCACATGTAACACCTTCATTTGGCAGGAGTTTATAGTGTGATTTTCGTTAGCCTTATTAGCATACAATCAAATATACGAATTTAACGCAATACACGTGTCTCACTACATATAAGGCATTCACCGCTTGCCAATTTTGTTTTTAGAATAGCTTTATTCTTTTTCAATTGTGAAATGAACAAAACTGTTGAAGATTCACAAAGTCAACGGCTTTATAATGTATTCAATTCACATTCAATTTGCAAATAGGTTAAGGTCCGATTTAATTCGCGAGAATTCTTTCTATTTGCATAATTCAAATATAATGTAATACAGATTCTGTATACATGGATAGAAACTTTTCTGTAAAAAATTAATTTTTAGTTAATTTGTTTTCATTGAAATATCAAAATTATTGAAATAAACGATTATTTGAAAAGTCATTCTTGTATATCTTTGTAATTTCTTTGTTCAAATTTCTTTACACAAAAACAGTAGTTGTAGAATTTTTATTAATGATACATTTATTGGTATATTGCAAATTTACACTCGCCAAATATCTGTTTCGTGTGTGTAGTCATTAAACTAATTACGCATTGTTGATTCAACAATATTCAGCTTTTCATATTCTCACACGTTTCAAAATATAGTTTTTTGTTCATTTTGCACATCAACATTTATGTTCAATTTAATTGTTTTTTTTTTGTGTTAAATTCGCAAGATTTTAAAAATGTTCTATTCATTTTTTTGTTTTTGCATGTCATCCGATAGCTTTGAGTATATAAATCAAATGCACTTGCTTGGAAAATTTAGTCTTAATCTTTACTTTTAACAATAAAGAACAGTTTAATTCTACTCGATTGTGTTTTCTAAGCAAACACACTTTTATGCAATAATTAAAATATAAAAAAATGAAATAAAAAATATAAATATATAAAATAAAGAAAATGAATGGGAGGTGTTATTTTTTAAGCTAATTTTTGTGGTGTTATTTTTTTCTTGAAGATATTTTTTTTACATTCTATAATAATTCATAAATTTCCATAATGAATGCGTAATATCAAAAGATAGTTTTCCACGTCCAATAAAGTGTGACATAAAATATAACATAATAGCTTTGTGAAGTGGCAGATGGTTGATATAATTTTCTTCTGCACATATCAGGCAAATTCAGTTCTTCACAGCAATTTATTTCAAAGGTGTAATCAAACACTTCACTCACGGTGATGTAATGGATGTATTAATTTATTGCTGCCCGATTTGACCCAATTTGTTTGGAGGGAAACATTCAACACTATTTATCAGTAAATAACGTTTGCCGTGGATTGCACGGCTTATAGTCAATCCATATTAGCCGTATTTTCGATAATTGAGACGATTATGATATTATAGAAATTTTGTGTGAAATTTAAAATAAATCACTTCATTGAGGATCGACAAACGGAAATATTATATAATGCGGTTCCTTTCTGTTGAAGATTTAGTCTCAGCAAGTCACTGCCTGCAACAACATTGCAAAGTCATCAAAAAATTGAAAATTGTGTAAAGTTTTTTTTTTGTGAAACACCATGTATCCCAAGAAAATAAAAATTTTGTCAGTACACCAAGACATTTTTGCTTGGCTTCGTATTTTCCCATTTGCCAATGCCACCAATCGTAAAACTCAGTTCATCTCCAAAATTTGCATGGTTTCTGTTTTGATAATTAAACTCCTTTCACTTGTATCGAGTGTCGCTTATCTATATAGAAATGTGTCATCTGAAGTGGATTTGGGATTTTCGATAACCCAAATTTCTGGCTGGGCATCTACTTTTTATACATTGGTTGTTGCGTATATTATTCGCAACCAGCTTCGCAAATTGTTCGATAAAATTCAGGAGATTTATGATGGTTAGTATTTTTTTAATTGAAAAAAACAAAATTCGAGTCAAACTAACTAACTGGATATCGCAATTAACCAGATGCAACTGACGATATGAAGGGAAATTTTATCAAAATCAATGAAAAGAGTGAATTTTTAACCAAATACTGCGTAAAATATTTCATAGTTGGATTTGTAGCTTATGTGTGTGCAATGGCAATGATAAATATTCTCTTTTGCTATTTGATAAATGGTCACGTTGATGCAAAGTGTTTATGGTATCCGCCAAAATATGTGTATGTAAATTAAGGCTGAAAAATAAATTAAAAATAAAAAGTTCTTTGAACAATTTTCAATTTTTTTTTTTATTTTCAAGTCTACCGTGGAATCAACACACTGTTATTGGATGGATTGGAATGTTAATATTTTTGGTGCTCGGTAGTGGAACATATTTACTTGTGAATATCGTGTTTCTATCATTATTCGTTTCAGTTTGCGAATTTCATAAGGTGTTCTACTCAAGGACCGAGCATCTTTTGGCTGAACTTGATGAAGTGACCGACGAAACGCCCATGAAGCTAAAAAGAAACCCAACAAAAAGTATTCAATCAATTTTATGCCAAATCATTAAAAATAACATTAAAGGAAAGGAGTAAGGATTTTTAGTTTTTTTTTTTGACATTTGATTTTCCTTATTATGGATTTTTTTTAAAATTCAATTCTAGATTTTTCAAGTACACCGCCGACGTTTACTCTTCATTTCTATTTATTCAAGTAATATTTGACATACTTTTCTTGGCTGCTGCTGCATTACAAGTATATGTGGTAAGTTTTACTTCAATAGTATATATCACAAAAAGACCGGATTATCACTAACGCATTATTTTGTTAATTTTTAGTCTGTAAAAAATCCCAGCCTGAACATGTTGACACCGTTCATTGGCATCGTTAATGGATTGGCAAATTTGTTAGTTTATTGTTATATCGCATATAGAGCGAGTGATAATTATGTTCGGATCGGTGATTTGCTTTATCAATCAGTTTGGTATAAGCTACCAACCAAGTATCGTAAATATTTCGTTTTGATGATTCAAGACTCTCAAACACCACAGCTTTACCACGGCTTTGGTATCATCAAAATTGACATGGGCACATTTGCTACTGTTTTAAGAACTGTGTACAGTTATTTTATGGCAATGAAAACTATTGGCGAAAATATTATCTAAAATTATTATTGCACTTCATTTAACGAAATGTCTCATTCAAGATGACTGAACGTTTGAACACTTCTGATATTAATATTATATGTGTTAAATTCAGACAATATATTTAGATTTTTTCATCTGGATATTTCAGCTCATCTGGATAACGTTGGGCGATGATATGGAGTGAAAACAATACAAGTGATTGTTGTATTGAATAGGTATAAAAATACTACCATAACTATAACAATCACTTCTATTGTTTTCACTCCATATCATCGCCTAACGTTATCCAGATGACAAAATCTAAATATATTGTCTGGTTAAATTACTCACCTCTATCAAAGATTTCAAAACAAAACAAAAATTTCTTTTGAGTGTATTGCACCCTCTTGTTAAAAAAAATTGTATCACTGAAGGCAATTTGGTCGTCAACAAATTCGTCTGCTCACTATTTCATTATTGTTCATTACTTTAATATTATATATGTCTACGTTCTGAGTTTTTTTTTGTGTTGATATATGTATTCCTGTATTCACATTTCTTCTCAAAATATATTAAGAAATATTCTTGTGATATTCACACTTTTATATAATAATTTAATTATTGTGAAAATACCTATTCGAGATGTATAAATGTAAAAAAATGAATAAATAAAATAAAGAAAATCAATAAGCTTATAAACGGTCTAATTTCAATCTGTGATCCTTGTGTAAAAATGCATAATATTTCACTTCGTCTAAGTAGAGATAATATCGTTGCAAAACCCGTTTAAGCGTTTAAACAATGTGTTGACTATTGATTCGATAAAAAAGCGGCCGTTTGGTGCAAAAAGCAATGCACAGATTAGCTGTTTAATCTTTTATTCAAATTTCCGTGTTTTTTTCCTTTCATACTCAATCTAGCGCGATTGCTTTGACAATGTACAGTTGTGTTTCCTACGATTCAATTGATCATTTCGAATATTTTTTTTTGGATTTGGTTCCATTCAACGAACAAACGTACCAGCAACGAGTGAAATTCACAAGCGTAAATCAAAATCTCACATTAGGTGTATTTGACTGTCGAGATTGTGCGCATAATATTAACCATTCAATTCAGATTAAAATAAATGCCGTCGTCTTTTTTCTGCTCCATTTTTCTTCCATAAACGTCGAAAACCGCAACGTAATCGACCATTAAAAATGAAAAGAGCAGAATTTGAAGTCGGCTGTCGAAAAAAAAAGTCAAACCAAGGATTTGTAAGCCTTTCGCAGTTTAAAAAGAGATATATTTCAAGGTGCACACAGGATCGACCAAGAAGAACAACAAGTGAGTCAGCAGGTCAACCAAACGAATTTAAGACTAATAACAAGCTCGGCTATGTATCGTTTAATGCATTTGCATTGAAACTTGTTTTTCCGCTCATGACTCATGCAGTTGTCGATATGAATTCCGTACAAAAAAACAAAAATGCTGATTGCATAATTTGCGTAAAAATGAAATAGTTGCGCTATTGATTTTCATAAATCCATATACAAATCGATACTTCACGGTCTCCGGGAATTGTGAAAAGAAAAATTGACAACAATCCAAACTGAAACTATTTAAGTTGTCTGCAACAGCAAACGACATTATACGCCTTGAGACATTTAAATTGTCGGCGCGTAACCATTTATCGTAATATAATTGTTGCGCTCAAACTCCCATTTGAAGTTAACGAACTAAATGATTCATTATGGAACCAAACCAACGACGCATGCAAAAAAACAACAACACCAACGAAAACAATATTTGAACAAGGTATAAAGCAACGTTTTAACACACGCGCGCCAAGCATTTGTTCATAGTCATCATGAGCATTGAATAAAATTTAATATTTTCTATGCAAAAAACCGTTTCTCAAAGCACTTTGCTCTTCAGCACAAATAGATTTCGTTCCACCAGTCGGTGTGTGTCTACGTTTGCCAAGTGCAATAACAAAGCATCAAATGTATTGAAGTATCAGGTTCAAGTTATTTGTTAAAACGTCATTTGATCATCAAATGTGCCAATGAATGCACATATTTTAACTCGCTCTTCGTCATTGTTGTCTAGATACAAACAATAGCACTACAAAACCGATAATACCTAAAAGATTGAACATAAAAAAAAACTATATATAAAACAGCGAAGACAGTAAAAAAACGACAGCGCTATATTCCACCAGACGATGATGATTCGAACAAAACACAACAAAGACCAGCAAATTCTTTGCGAACGTCCAAGACATTCTAACAAAATCATGAAATACAATAAGAGTTGAAACTATCAAATTAAGTGATGGAAACATACAAAATATATATGTCAGATGATGGCTGGTTGCGTTTGTGGCACATAAAACCCAGCTGGACGTTTTCATTGAGCCCTATTCAAATCACAAATAGTAACATGCAAAACAATAGTGATCGACGTTTCAACAACAAAAATTGTGAATAGAAAAATCAAAGTGAGACGCAACTATTTGTTCAATACACTGCACACACAAAAAGATTGAAAACTCTTTCAAACGATTTTCAAACACACAATTCAATTATAGATTGTTTGAACCGACATGATAAGAGCATAAAATGTGTAATATAATCGGTATACAGGTATATTCGTTGCATACGCAATTCAGCGCTGTTTAGCTCTTACACAATCAAAGTAGGATATATTTTCTTTTCGCTTTACGTTGCATTTGCGTCCCTTTTACCAAGATTTCTATTGTTTTCACTGGCTTCGTCTTTAGAAATGTATGCGTCCATAAACTTGTTTCGTTCAATTGTTTTCTTCAGCTCTCCGCTTTGGCTGAACTAATAATATTTTCAAGAAGAAAAAAAAGAACTGTATTCATGTCGGCAAAACGACAGACAATGAGTCGCTTCATATATGATTTTCTTTGGTTCGCTCTTTTGTTTCTTGTGCTCTTCTTTTTTTTTGTCAAATCGGAATCTTTTGTTTGACATCAAAAAAAGCGTTTTATGTATGAAACGCACGAAAGGTATCTAATTGATTGTGAGGTGATTCGTATGCATTTGCACGTGTTACAATCTATACGATTCGAGGAATTTTAAAATTGATTTTGCAATGCAGCGAATTATATACATTAAATGCTAAAGAGCAACTCCAAAGATGAAGAAAACCATTTTATCGATAAAAAAATGGCAATATGATTTAAGGTTTCGTCTCCTTTTTTATGAATGAGATGTTTGCCGTAAAATTGAATGCATCATCCCAGAGCTATAAAATGTGTCATTTCTGAAAAAAAAAAAGTCCCTACATCCATCGGATCGTATACCTGTGCGACACTTCGTGATGCAACCGAACTATTTATGATGTACGAAAAAGAACATTTTCAAACACACATTGTGTCACAATAGACGACTGATTCATGTCATTTTATGTGCAGAAATATACCGTTTTTTCTACCTTTTTTTTGCTCTTTTCTCTGTGCCTATGAAAATAGCTGTCGGTCGATAATAATAAATTCAATACCGTTCTGCCACATTCATTCATCACGAAATTCGGTTTGAGTTATTTTATCATCTTTTTTTGCTGCCCGATTTTATTATGTTTTTATAGGAAAAGTGTGAAGATAAACAGAAAATGTACGGACAAAAATCATTCGATGCACACCTTGATGCAATTTATGAAACGAGCCAAACTGGTGCTCAACAAAAGGCGACTTTTTTCAGCCTCGATGTTTCTTGCCATAGATATACCGTGTTCGAGGGTTCGTCAGGCATTCTCTAATTAAATGTCGATTGAATGCTTTGTGCCGAACCGAAAATTACGAAAGAGAAAAAAAACTGGTTTTCATAACAGCAATCATCGGGGATGCGTGCAATATGTGAATAGGACAGATGCCAATGGATCTCAGTCGACTGCACATTTATCGATTGGATTTGTTGTTATTATTTTTTATAGAATCACTCTCTCGTTAGAGATTTTGTTTATTCTTCTGATTTTCCGGCATCAAACGATATGTTTGGTAAAAGTGTTTGTGCTTGTGTTCTGATGAATCTGTAATCGTGCATTTTTCCATCAACGGTAAATGAATGTATGTGTGTGTATGTGCATTGTTGATGGTCATGCTTTGGAATGGGGTGCCGATGAATCACACCTGCGAATACATTATCCAGAAAACACGGTATGGCACGCGTCTCACTTCATATGTTCGCTTCTTTTTTTTCATTTTTCAAATCTATTGAATTTAAACACTGAAAAATGGAGAATTTTTATATACAAGCGAATTTGATTGTGGATGCATCATTTCTTTGTTCACATTCAACATTTCCCTCTTTTATCACATTTCGATCGAGCATTTTTATAATGGATCGTTCGACAAAATGCAGCAGCAGCTGATCAATGCGTCGCACTTTATGCTATTATATTAAATGAAAAATATGGTTCGCTCAATAAAAACTTGGCCGTTTGAAAAGCTCTTTTGTACTTCCTATAATGGCTGTGGGCTGCTAGTAGTTCCTATTTCTAACTGTTAATCTTGTAATTTGGATCATTTTCTTCAATTGCAAATGGCATTCATTGGTCTAATGCACATGCTTTTCAGCACTAGCGTACAACAGATGCGACCACATCTTCATTTATTGGGATGGTAATTCACTTCACTATGAGGAAAAAAATCACTTTAGCTAGCGATAGCATGTTACTGTAAAATATCAATCAGAGCTGGGCACGAACAGTCAACCGATTGAAGTTGACGTTCCAAAAAATTTCCTAAAATCTGAAGAGGTCATTTTCTATTTGGTCTCTCACAAAGGAGCTGCGTAAACTCACGGTCTAAACAGTATTATTTTAGAACCAAAAACTTGTAGTAAATATCAATACATTTTAAATGTAGTACTTCGTGAGACAAGTTCTAAGATAATGCCGTCTGTAGGCAACTCCTTCAAAAATGCATTATTTGATTCGTTGATAATGAGATATATTTCCAGCTCAGGCCAGTCTGATCAGATGAACCGTTATTATACTCTCCTTTACGTTTTAGTGAGCAAAATATGTGACATGTATCGAAACGATCAT